CCGGTCAAACAAGTGATAGATGATGTCCGCCGTGAAGATCTTCACGCTCAGCTCTTCCGACAAGTCTGTGGCCTCATTTGGCGCGAGAGTGTGGTTATGAATGAAAACAATATCAAAGCATTCGTATCATCTGTTTTTTTTTTCACAAAAAGCTATGTATGATCTGGGATGTTGTGATCCTCCGCTTGCAAAACTCCCTTGAGGCTGCGCGTAAGCCAGATGGCCGTCTCGCGCGGAGAGACCTTGTCGCTGCCAAACGGCCTCAGCACGATGGCCAGCTCGTCCAGCCGGTGCTGCGACAGCAGCTGCGCGCACAGCTCCAGCAGCCCCTCCAGCGCCTCCGCCCTCTGCCGGAACGATTTCACGTCGATCCCTTTGCTGCTCGATCGGTTCTCCTCGCTTGCTTGCTGCTGTGACACTAACACCTCCGGCGTTGGCGGGCATGGATGGCTGCTGCTCACCGTCGTACCCGACGAAGAGACCGAGAGGACGTCCTTGTCCGAGCTCTGGAGCTCGATCACCGAGCATCCAATGTCAACTTTGCCTGGCAGCTCCAACTCGCTGCTGTCGAGCGGATGATCCGACAGCTGCTGCTGCTGCTGCTGCTGCTCTCCCGATCCGATCCGAAACGTGCTGTGGCGGATGACGTGAATCACGTCGTTGTAAGCTGGCCGGACCTGGACCGGGGACTTGTCGTAGACCTGTATGGTGCCTTTCTCCTGGGACCTGTTGCTGCCGCCTTGCTCGCTCTCGCAGTCGTAGGACTTGTACGAGGAAGAGACCGTCTCCTTCTCCGTCGACCTGTCCGCCAGCTCTTCCGACTCGCACTCTCGATCCATCATGGCCGCCGCAGGCTTGTCCTGGTCTTCGGAGCATGCACACGGCGTTTCCGGACGGAGGATCGCTTCTTTCTCCTCTGGCTTGTCCTCGGCGTCCACCCTCTGGAAACTATTCAGCAGCTTGGTCACTGATTTGGTGCTTTCCCGGAGATTGTCTTCTTCATAGTCACACGTCGACGAGTAGCTTGGCTTTTCTTGTTGCATCACCGCAGGGAGTGCTGGAGATGGAGGCTGAGGCGGGAACCCGTTCATTCTTAGAAAAGTTGGCGAAGAGTCGATCTTCTTGTAGCTCAGCCATGGAGACTCCATTTTGAAGTGAGACTGCCCAACTGATGGTTCCGGAGCTTGAAACCTGTCAGTTGCTGCCGAGTCTCTGGCGACTGCTTCGGTAACACCACAGAGAGTTTCCGCTCTGGCGAGAGGGAACTCTGGAATCAAATCCAGCCTTGGTGCGTTCATCGAAACATCTGGAGACTCCCCACTGACCGAGCCAAGTACCTGATCCGAATCGGACTGAACAGAAGAAAGCTGCTCGTCGACAACAAACTCACCGCGTTTGGTAGTATTCGCCACCCGAGGATGGAAAGGTGCGAGTTTTGATGGCTCAGTCGAGACTGGTGCATCGCATACTGCGTCCTCAAAAATTCGATTCTTGTACGTGTTGCTCACAGGCGTTCCGTTCGGGAAGTTGCTCGCTGCCGGAATTCGACTTCTTAGTGGCGAGGAGCTTCTTCTTCCAGCGGACGCCTTCGGCATAGTAGACCTTTGAGCTGGACTTCCAAAAGCCGGAGAACGTGTGGCTTTTGCAGCTGGGAGTTTTTCTTCGACAGGTTGTAGAGCGAAGACAGGTGTGGCAACAAGCTCGGCTTTCACTTTAGCCTGAACAAGTAAGCACCAGTAAGAAACATAATAATAGCAAACAAAGCTTACTATGTGCTTTGGTAGTGGTATTTGAGTTGCTTTGTACCCGACGTCTGTTTTCATTCTCGATCTTTCAGGAGTCCGGGAAGGCGGAGAAGCTATAGCACGGCTAACATGAGTCACTCTAGCCGGTGAGCTGCTGATTGGAAACTTCTCATCCCCCTCATCCTTTTCAGTCGAGGTGTTTTCCGTTCCCTTCGAAATAGCACAGTGGTGCCGCTTTCCCATGCGGCTGTCTTCGGCCCATGCTACGTCTTGTAGATCCGTATCTTCTGTCGGTGACAGTGGCAAGGCATTGGCCGAAAGGTACTGACTGGACGATCTCGACGTTTCTTTTCCAGAAGCAGCGTCGTTCCATATTGGACTGGAGCAATCTACCATGTTATCCTGAGCACCACCCCAGCGACAATCACTAGAGTCGAAAGTTCTACAAGGACTGCTCTTTCCACTGTTATAGCTGTCCTTGCCACTGCTCGAGTTGCTTATTCGACTGGCATCTCCGTTTTGAGGTCGGTGTTTTGACTGCTTATCCGGTGTAGAAGATTTGAGAAGGCTAACTTGAGTTTGGCATAGTGTAACATGTGCCTGCAGATGTGGATGACGAAGCAGATCTCCTGCCTATTGATTTATAAATCCATTAGAACAAATATAAAACATGCCTACAACCTACCGTTGGACGATGTTCTGGATTTTTCCTCAGCATGCTCCTGATTATGGACTTTCTGCAGGCAAGTAACACTAAGTAATAAGAGGACGCTACGCTTTATAAAGACTTACAAGGTATTGGAATAGTTGTTGGGTAGAGGTCCTACAGTAGACTTGTTGATTTTACTGATCAATCCTTGCATATCCTGCAAGATAAATTGGTAAATCATTGGGAAAGCTTTGGTGCATAACTTACGAAGGCTTTGAAAGCAGGTCGGTGAGCAGCCATCTCATACATACAACATCCTAGCATTTCAAAAGATCAAGAAAATCAATGCGACAAGCTTGGAACCATCATCAGCATACCTAACGACCATATATCTGATTTGAAGCCATATGGGATGTCGGCAAGAAGTTCCGGGCACATATAATTTGGGGTCCCAACCACCTGCAATGTTTTCTTCCTGTCAAATTGGCTGAGAAAACAGTATAGAACTTACAGATGAAGCTAGATCATCTGCTTTAAGCAATTTGGCAAGGCCAAAATCTCCTGCTCATATAAAAAATATGCGTCAGCAAGTAGCACGCAAAATGAACTGAAACTGGCATACCAAGTCGAATGTCTTGATCTTTCGTCAAAAATATGTTCGAGCACTGAAAAGTAGAAGAGCTTGAAACCAAATTCTGTCAGCGTTCAAAACGGTGCCTACCTTCAAGTCACGATGTAGTACGTGATTCGAATGAAGGTATTCCACAGCTAGAAGAAGCTGCGTAAACCACCTGCACAGCTTCTGCAAAATTTCAAAAGTGGTGATTGCTTCTTGTTGCTATGGATAGAGCTATAAAACCTCTTCAGGAAAGAACGTTCCGTTGGATCTTCTGATCATCTCGGCCCTGGCAAGAAATCAAACTCATTTTAGTGCTCTATAGAGACGTAAAGGAGCACCCTCTTACGGTTCAAATGACTTACATATCACCCCCTTCACAATATCCAGTAACGATGCAAACATAGCATCCCTGTTACATCCAGTTATAGTCCATAAGCTGAACAGATCAAAGAGCAACACTCACCTTTTCGACCCAGGATTCCTTGTGGTCGACAATGTATGGATGAGTTATCCCAGCGATAAGTGCCATCTTCGAAATTTACACAAATTCTGTCTCGTGAAAGGAATCCAGAAAGGAAAAGGCTTTACCTCTTGATGAGCAGATCTCCTGCACCTATCAGTCTGTCGCGCAAGCCTGATTTTCTTCAACACATATCTGCAAGAGAACACACTTCATCAGCCAAGAAGAAAAATCTTAGCCAATTCTCAGCACTCACTTCTTCTTCTCGATTTTGTGATTGACGAGTATCGCAGAACCAAATGCCCCTCTCCCAACCTGCTCCATAATCTCGTACTGATCCATCCTGGACTCCATTGCCATTGAATCCGCCTTTTCCTGTTACCCTGTGTGGTCTGCTCCTCAAGAAACTAAATGCACGCCATAACGCTCCCTCTTTAAAGAACTCCCCTTCCCTTGATCCAAAGAAACTTGAGCCACCTACATTACAAGCCCGCTATCTCATCTTGGTAGATCTGCATTGCCCGGACGAAGATCCGGAGAGAACTCTCTTCACTGAGTACCGTAACCTGTCCGCCATAGCCTGTTCCACAAGGAGCATAATCGCGTCGAGGGAGTGGGGACTATAGCTTTGTCTCTATAACCTTTCCATCCGGCATTGAGTTTCCTGTGGGCCTCTGATCAGAAGAGCTGCGGCTTGCCGACACACCGTCGCGTTAGCGAGCTGGTCTATTCCACGGCAAAGAAGGAATGAGGGTGGAATCTGGCACTGACAGGGCAAGGACAAGGCACGCAGCTGCTCTGGCGATCCATCATAATTTCCGCTTATCCGCTAAGAAATTTCGCCCGGAACCTGGAGATCAATCAAGGGAATAAGAAATCGCTCGAAATCCCCGAGAAAGAAGAGAGAACGAAAGCTCCGAGAGGTAAAATCCGAGCTTACCGGCGCTAGATATTTCGCGGCCGGGAACACGAGCACGAGCGCCTTGTGATCTCCATCGATCTTGATGGATTGTCGCTACCGCTGCTGCGCTTGCTGGAGACGCGATTCAAGGCGCCACGCTCCTCTCTTAAATGCCGCTGCTCCATTCAAAGCCCTAAACGAAGGAAGTATAAACACGAGAAAGGGTCGGTTGTGTGTGGGGCTTTCATACTTTCATAGAGGAAAGGAATGGAAGAGCATGCAGTCTTTCCGAACACCAGCCTATAATTTCCCATATTATCCCACAGCACAGACAAGTAAATCAAGGGAACGTATAGGCTGGTACGTCATTGTCTCTTGTTAATTACCGGCCAGCTGTTTTTCACAACACACCTTTTACCTTTTTGAGTGATTTTTTCCACTGCAAGGTAAAAATCACAATCAGCATTGCTGTGTTGATCTAGCATTGCATCATTGATGTCGTACTTTAACCAAACTTTACGCAGCACATGGTTAGAACATTGATGTTCCAGCAATAACAAAAAAATCGAATATATAACCTTGGGAACTATTCTAACTTGTACAACGAACCCGGGGACCACATTTTTCTATCGCTGTGTATGGTTTAGGGCATTTGCAAAGAGTGTGTAGGCAGTCACATCTTCTCCACCAAGCTGTGCGGCCGCCAAGGATCCAATGGCAAGATCATTGTGGGCAATGCAATTCGATAGAAGGCATCTCCATTCCAGGGAATCTGGCGCAAATGCCATGGTCGTCAAGAGTTCTCTTGCGTCGTCAAGATACCCAGCCCTGGCAAAGATGCCTAACAAGCAAGAATAGTGCTGCTTTGTGGGTTCCAGGCTATGATCAAATTTCATGGAAAGGAAGAATCTCTTGCTGGTGTTGACGCCACTGCTGCTGGAAGAGATTAAGATTGGGGAGAATGAGGCATTGTCATGATCTACGATGAGATTGGCCTCGTAGAAAAGCTCCAGTGCCATGGTAAACTGCCCGTTTTGCGAGTAGGCATTTAGCATCGCGCTACACGAAACCAGGCTATGCTCCGGCATTTTGTCGAATATAGATCTAGCGAGATCGAGATGCCCTTCCTGGGCATATGCGACAAGCATCGCGGTCCAGCTGGCAAGATCCTTGAACAGGATTCCATGGAATAGTTGTAATGACTCTCCCAAATGCCCAGTTGTGGCATATGCCACAAGCATGGCCGTGCAGGAGAAGGAATCTTGGACGGGGAGTGTGGAGCCATGAAGATGACGTGCTTCCTCGAGCACTCCATTACGGGCCAAAGTTGCAACCATTACATTGCACGAGACAAGATCGACAAATGGAAGTTGATGAAAAATATTCCTTGCGTCTCCCAAATGTTTGGAACTATTCGCTAGAGCGGCCAGCATTGTGGTGGAAGACCGGAGGCTATGAACCGGCATGTTTTGGTACACGGATTTAGATTCCTCAAGATGCCCTTTCAAGGCATATGCCCAGAGCATTGTATTCCAGGACTCCGTGTTGAGCTCTGGCATCGTATCAAAAATTCCTTTTGCTTCGAGAAGGTTTTCTGCCCGAGCATAAGCCGCAAGAATCGTGTTCCAGGAGATTAAGTCATGCCCGGGACAAGAATCAAACAGTTTCCTAGCAGTATACAGTTGACCATCTTCGGCATATGCAAAAATCATGGCGTTCCAGCAAGCTTGATCTCTGTATTTCATCTGATCAAACACTGTAGCTACAAAATCCAAACAAAAGGAGTGATCTGTAAACTCTCTAATAATTATTGTGCAAGATATAATACTAATTTCTGGGATCTCTTCAAAGAGCTCCCTACATTTTGTAAGATGCCCAGCTTTGGCATTTGCAATGAGCATTGTGTTCCATGCATATAAATCTCGCATTGGCATCAAATCAAACAGAGCCCCTGCCTGGCTAATGCCACCATTTCGTGCAAACGCACCCAGCAGTGCGGTCCAGACAATAAGATTCCTTCCCGGAAACCGATCAAACAAGAGCTCGGCTTCTCGCAAATGCCCACACTCACCCAATGCGGTGATCATCGCGGAGCACGAACAGGGCGTGAGGATCGGCATCGCTGCCAAGAGCTCCCGCGCCAACTGGAGTCGATCGCTGCGAAGCGCCGCCACGAGCATCAGATCCCAGCTGAAGGAATCCCTCCGCGATCCCAACTCGCGAAAGATCTCGAGCGCGCGATGGACGCTTCCACTCCTGCCGTGCTTCTCGATCATCTTATTCGCGGCAAACACATCAATTCGAGAGGAGAGGAAGAAGAAAGAAACTCTCTCGATTCCATTCATCAATTTCAGCCTCGAGCGATCGACCCATGGGCTGCTTCCTCCAAAACCCGCTGGATCGCAACATCAAACGCATCACCCTCCAGCCGATCAGACCCTCCCCCGCGCGCGTAGATCAATCTGGGCGCCATCTCCAGCAAGCGCGCTCTCATTGCGGCCACCTCCTCGCGCGGGAACCTCCCAAGAACCTCGGAGATGCTCACATTCCCGCCCTTGATCTCCTCCTCACGGACGAACACAGAGTAGCCACGCGGATCGTCCGGAAGATGCCACGTGTACTGAGAATATGCCGAGTCCTCGTGGAAGAACACCGGGATACACCCGGCGACGATGGCATCAAACACGGATCGTCGAGTGGCGCTATCGCCGCGCGGCTGGAGGCAAAAATCCGCGCTGAGAAACGCCGCGGCGATGGGCGCCGGATCGTGTCCGCAGCGCCGCTCACCACAGTCGACGAATTTGCACCGCGCGCTCGCATCGCCCACGCACTGATCCAGCAGTAAGCTCCGGATGCTCGCCTCCTGCGATGGCCGCGGAGCCCCCGCGAACGCGAACAAGTAGCTCCTCCGCGAGCCCCGGACTCTCGCGATCCAATCGCCCAGCTCGCCGCGAGAGCCCGGATGGAACGCAGTCGGGTATGGTACCGCGTGTTGCCGGCGACGAGGATCCCACGGATTCTTCTCCACGAACAGCACGCTCATGCTCGAGAACTTTGGAGACGCGAGGATCGGCGTCCCCCAGCGATCAAGGTCCGGGTTTGATCCAGCTCCAAAGTCCCAGGCTGTTCTTCCCATCACCATGAAGTGGTCTCGACCGCCGCCGCCCTGTTCTTCATCCCAAAACTTCCTCGCGGCGTTCCTCTCGAGCCACTCCGCCACCCCGGCTCCATGCAAGCTCTTGTTGGCGCCGGGGTTGTAGAGGTAGTGCAAGGCGTCCAGCCCGGCGTAGTATGGGACGTAGAACGCGTTTGCTCGAGCTGGATCGTCTGTGAGGCACTCGTAGCTCGCCATTCTCCGGTGGAAGATCACCTCGAGCATGTATGAGTCGGTCTTGTACCACCCTTTTCCCAGCAGCGGCTCGAACTCCTGTGGCACTGGCTGTCCAAATCCGTCGTTGGAGACGTGATCGCAGAAGTTGAGCCAGTTGACAATGCCCGAGTTGCATCGCTCGAGCAGCTGCGAGTTGAATTCACTGGGGAGATTGTAGACGAAGACCCTCTTGCCTTTGCAGCCGTCTACGCTGCTGTTCTTTCCCAGTGAAAGTTCTTGAGAGGTTTGCTCCCGAGTTCCTGGACTCGAGTTGCGAAAGAACAGCAGCGCCATACCGGATACCAGAAAGCAATACAGACTTGCTGTTGCTACTGATTTCTTCATGGATATCTATGCAAGAGGAGATCTGCGTTAGTATTTTCTTCAAGTGACAAAAGAGAAAGTTTGTTGTTACCTTTATTCGGTGGCTCGGGAATCGTTCGTGCTTGAAGAAAACGTTAGCAAGCAGCTTCGAAGGCAAGAAGAAAACTTTCCATAAAGCGAACCTTGAGATCGAGAGAAGTATCAAAATGCATGGGGCCTTCGAATATAAGAGGAAAAGAAAACGAAAAAAGAAAATGACTTGCCGACTAGATGCTTGCCAGCTTCTGAATCACTCTAGACTTTTCCGCGTCGATGATCCCGCATATGGCGTTCACTGATCTCTCTAGTTGCCCGTCCGAGTTAACCACCGCGTAATCAAACTCTTCCAGTCTCTTGAGCTCGTCTCTTGCGGTTGCTACTCTCACCACCAGCTTCTCCATGCTCTCCGTCTTTCTTTCTATCAGTCTCTTCACCAGAGCAAACTCCGACTCTGCGACGATGTAGATGAAAACGGCGTTGGAGCCGAGTATCGAGCGAACTGTGGCAGCCCCTTGGACGTCAACTCTCAAAACGACGTCCTTCCCTTTGGCCAAGCAATCTCGCACCTACATGAAATTAGAAACACCGAAGGAGAGATAGATAGACCAGCTTACTTGTTTCTTAGGAATCCCTTTATAATCTCCGTAGACCAGTGCATGCTCCAAGAGCTCATTCTTGTCAATCATCTCCTCAAACTCTTCCTTGCTGACGAAGTAGTAGTCGACACCATGAACTTCTCCGGGACGCTTTTGCCTGCTAGTGGCGGTCACCACGAAATGTATCTCCTTCCTCACTTCTTGAAGCCTCTACACAAGACACAACCATGGAGAAATCAGCCCGAGAAACCAGACAATCCACAAACCTTGATGACAGAGTCTTTGCCAACACCGCTTGGGCCACTGATGACAATTACCAGAGGCTTTGGTGCCGGAACTTGAGGCCCGACATCGAAAGGCGTCCCCAGTGCCTCCTCGAGCTGCGTCATCATTTTCACCTGGAACATGAAGAGCCAACCAGTAAGAACATGAAAGAGAACTAGGAAAAGAAGCTTAAGAAACTTACGAGCATAGATATAGATTCATAAGAAGAACAAGGAAATCAAGAACATAAACAAAGAAGAACAAGGAAAGAAGCTTACAGCACACATAGGGATTGAAGAAGAAACCTACGAGCGTAGATATTTACAACACGAAGATGGAACTTACGAGCATAGATAACAAAGAAAAGAAAGAGCTCCAATACCTCGTTGAGGCCACTGGCGATGTCCGAGGGCGACGCTCCGGTCGAGTCTTTGTCCTTACATCCTGAAGCAAATCTTGACAAGAGTGAGGACCAGGAAGGAGGAGGCCGATGATGCTTTGGACGCCTACTACCACTCCCACTACACAGCTCACTCACTCTCCCAAGTTTTAGCGAGCAGAACAAGCGGCTGGCAGTCATTCTCTGCGGCGGAAAACGATGGAAATCTCTCACACAGCGGTGGGATTTGACGAGAACAAGCCTCGCGGCTCGAGGAGGGAGCCTAAATGCGCTCATCGATTCCTTCCTTGCTTGTTACAATCCCTGGAAATGCAATGCACGCTACAGCTACATTGAGTGTGCCGGATTTTCTAACCAGACATGGATCGCGATGACGCCCTGCCCGCGATCGGAGAGAGCGACGCTTTTTCTTTGCTTCTTCCACGCTGGGGCAAAATTAGGGCAAGCGGGCAAATACCAAAGCCCTAAACAATCGCGGTATAAAGGCCGGGCGGCCACCAAATTTGGACCTCGCTTTTAGGGTTCTTCCGGAAACTTTGGAGGGCTTTTGGCGGGGGAGGGGGAGAGATGGGACGCTGCAAGATCGAGATCAAGTACCTCACCGTCAAGAGCAATCGCAACGCAACCTTTCGCAAGCGCTCTTGCGGCCTGATGAAGAAGGCGGACGAGATCCACATCCTTTGCGGTGCCGAGCTCATGCTGGAGATGGAGCCAGAAGGAGGGACGCCTCGCATCTACGCCTCCGAGAAGCGCAACGATTACGTCTCCAATCCCAGGTACCACATCAACTCCAAATCCAAGCCCAAGGATTCCTCCTCCCCAAAGGAAGGCTCGACTCTTCTCCAAAGCTCCAAAGCCAAAGCTCTCAAGCCCGCGTCCAGGGCGGTTCCAAAGCTCGATCGAGGCATCAAAGTTCCATCAAAGGCTCCAAAGCTCAAACTCAAGGCTCCAAAGCTCCAATTCAAGCTTCCAGGAGGCTTGGAGCTTCCACAGACAGGCTTCAAACTCCCGAAGATCGAAGCTCTCGACGCACCACCGGCCTTGGCAGCGATCCCCCTCTCGGTTTCACTTCCGCCACCTTCGAACGAGGACCTCATCGGCTACCAGGGCTTCGACCACCATCAGCTCTTGCAAAACAGCGTCAACTTTGGACTACCTCCCACGAACTTGGACGATCATGGCTCCTCCACCGCCGCCTCCGCCGCCGCCGCCGCCGCCAACACACCCTTCTTCAGCGAAGAACACGACTTTGCAGCCATGGATCCGACCTCCAACAACAACAGCGAGCTCGACAACTTCCCGGACGATCTCTTCGACTTTTCGTCCCTGAAGAACTTCGATCCTGCAAGCGAGGAGCCATCGGCACAGGATCAGACGACGAACTATCCTTTACCTCCTCCAGCAGTGCCGCAAAACATGTTTGTCATCGGGGACCAGCTCTACTGCTTGCAGCAAGCCGCGGACGGACGAATGGTCTATACCGCTGTTACCTGCTAACTTTAAGCTTACTTAGGACTTCGCGTCAACTTTAGATTTAGAACGCAACGCGGCTTTCGATATTTATACATTGTGTACACGTTGGGTCTTTCTTCCAATTATATCCAAAACAAAGAGAAAGTTTTAACCAAATAAGGAAAAAAGAAAGAATAATAGACAGAAGCTTATCTCTGTCGTTTGGATGAAGAACCAGAAGCTCTGGCTTTTGGATCGTCTTTTTCTTTGTCCCTGTCGTTTGGTTTGAGCCGGCGCTGGAGCTCTTGAGCATGGCGGTGCCACCACGTTTCTCGAGCTCGCCGGGGCATCCTGTTGTAGCGATGGTCCGAGTTGAGCATGTCTTTGGCGTCGCTCCACACGCCCAGGATGTCTTTGCCGTCTTCCGCCAGCTTCGAGGCCGCGTCTAGCGTTATAGCCTCTGCCAGGAGTGCTCGGTATTCCTTCTCACACCGCTGTGTAGAACAACCGTCAATGAGCTGAAACAGTATGAGAAAAGTGTTTACCTCGTACAGGTCCTTGACGTGATCTCTGAATAATCTCTCCCGGTCCGCAGCATCTAGCTCTGGGTTTGTAGCGCGTCCAAGAGCGTCTTTTTCTAGCTTTGACTTGCTCTCTGTCCACGATGCCTGGCAAAAACAATCAAAGTATAAGATGCATGGCATTTTCAAGAGCATACCTCGGCATCTTTGATTTTCTCCGTGAGAAGAGCCTGATAACCAGTCACTGCATCTTTCCGGCGAGCCTTGGCTCTAACTCTGTCGAGTTCCTGCTCGGTTCTTTCCTTTCGCTTTCGCATCACTCGTTCTCTTTCCCGCAGTTTGTTCTGACAGTTGAAACTTGCAAGACTTAGGACGAAAACTTGCGAGCTGTGCATGCTAACCTCTTCATCACGTTTTTCTTTCGCAGCTCTCTCGACTACCTGTTCAGCAGCCCTTAGTTCTGCTATGTAGCTGTTGAAGATGTTCTCTCTATCCTCGTGTTTTACAGCTTTGCATCGCGGATCATGTCTCACGAGATCTTTGATCTGCACCAACAAGTTGAGCGAACGTACACCTTTTTATACAAGATTAATACCTTCGACCAGCGAGTAGTAGAAGTTATGTCGTTTCTCTCTTTCAGCATAGCCTGGAACTCAGAGGATACAGATGCATAGGCCGCTTTAGCACGTTCTTCCTCCGCTTTCTTCAGCGGTAAGATCCTGCAGAAACATCTAGTTAGAAATGTAATCATTGAAAAGGTGGATGGTGCAGAAGCTTCGGCCAAACACTCGATTTCCATTACAGAAACAAAGTATACCTGCTGTCACCGATCGCAAGTGGAACACATTTCACCTACATAAGGAAAAACCCATGGCTTTCTCTGGCTGATCAAGACTTAAGACTGTGCAAATTAGCATCTGCACCATCCACACAACAAAAGCTTTACTGATGCAGTACTCAGTTTACCTTTCATTGAGCAGCGTCTCCCTTTCTTTGCGATCCAAAGCTTCAAAACGGGGATCCTGATTCCAAATGCTAGCAAAGTTCTCATATGTGGTGCTAGCAGAAAACTCCTACAATCCCTGGGTATTAGAAAAAAAGAATAACGAAGAAAGCAAAAGGAGTCTTACATTGGATGAGTTTGCCTCGTCCAGGAGTTGTTTGAAACCTTCAACAGCCAACTTTTGTGCAGCCCTCTTTTCCTTTCTCTCTTCCTCTGCCCTTGTCCGAACATAATGCTCAAATATTGAACGCCTTTCAGTGTGGCCAGCAATAGCCTACAGAACCAAAATAGACAGAAAGCAGACCGAGGTCCAAGCGTACCTTGAAGCGAGGATCAAAGAGAATCTTAGGCAGTTCTTTCTCCCATTTCGAAAATGGTGCGACCCCTTTCTCTTTCAACATTTCCTACAAAACACAACAGGAAACAATTAGCTACAAGGAATAACAAGAGAAAAAAAAAAAAACAGAAAAGAGCAAAGAGTACTACACTAATGCACCTTAAACTGCCGGACGCGTTCTTCCTTTGTTACAGTTGGACCCTCCTCTTCACTATCTGATGATGAATCTGATGTAGATGCTTCAGCGTTTTCTTTTGACTTGTCCTTCGACGTATCATCTGCCCCGGCTTTCGCGACCTCTGGTTCTGAGACTGTCGCAATTCCGCCAGAGTATTCCTGCAGTTTCTTCTTTATTGTATCAAGAGCTGTCGGCGTATTTGATGTGCCTTTAGCTTCTCTCCCACCAGTCAAAGCCGCAGGAGCATTAGACGCGTCCTTCTTCCCTTTGTCGACAATCTCTGCAGGGATTTGCCAGCTCGTTGCCTTACAGGAAAAGAAAAAGATGTCATGACTTTGCAAAAGCTGAAAAGAAAATTGCCCAGTACCTGCGTTTTAGGATTGTAGTAATACTTTTTCCCGTCATTTGTAGTCACCAGAGACCAATCCGTGCCACTCAGCTTCTCACTGTGAAAAATAATAAACATTTCCCATAAGAATTGCGGTCCAAATGCAACTCATGATGAACTTACCAGGACACTGGAGTTGGCTGGGACGTGACGTTGCCAGCCTGAACGTAAAAGCAAACATAGTACACACAACTAAGAAGAAAACAAGTTACCTCTCCTTTGAAGCCCGCGGGTTTCTCATACGTAGAATCCCCTGTAACAGAATTATAGTAGTAAATGACTCCATCTTCTGTTTTATGCGCAGCCCAAGCATCTTCCTCAGACACTTCAAATGGAAAAGCATTCTCCGATTTAGAATCACTCACAGCAGTGTGACTTTTGTCTTCGCCAGTAGCAGCAGCAGCAGCCGGCATTTTGTGAGCATGGAAGTCTGGAAGTTCATGGTGTGCTGCTGATCCAGAAAGATCAATGCCACTGCCACCCCACACTCCAAACGCAGCACCACCTTGGAAAGGATCGCCCACTGGCCGGAACGATGGATGGAGCTCTTGCCTCTGGTATGGAAGAGAGAAAGTCGGTGGATAGAGAAACGGCCTTTGGGGATGTTGTCCCGGAAGAATCCACTGGTGGTTCGATGGATATGGCGGCGGCTGGACCAAAGGAGAGCTCGCTGGCTGCGACGTTGGCCGTGCTCCAAATATCGATGGCGGAGGAGCGCTAGCGTCCCATCTTACATGCGCGTAGCCCGTGGCATTCGTGGGGCTCGAGCCCATTTGCCCAGATGGCGATGGAGGCTGATAGAGAGGAAGGTTTGGCGAGGAGGCGCCCTGCGAGAGAGATTGCGCGAGAGCGCGCGTCTTTCCAGTGAGAATTTCTAGACTGTGAGGCTTACCGGAGGAGTAGAATTGAGCTGGTTTGGCGCTCGATACGGCTGGAGCGGTGGCGCTGGGTAGCCTGGAAACACGGCGCGCTGCATTTGGCCTGCTTGCCAGTGCCCCTGCGACGGCGATCCTTGCCCTGGGAGCTGTTGCCACGCCGCCGGCGACGCCATCCAAGGATTCAAACGAGATTGCCCTACCCTAAAAGTTTAGGGCTTGCTCGCATTTTCCAAGATTCTTTTTCTCTTCCATACAAATGGAGAGTCATTCAACGATAGCTCGTTTGTGATGTTTGATCGCAATCTCTCCCAAGCAAGATGGTTTTCGAAGGTAATGGCTCACTGATTGAGGCAACCTTTCATTCCCGACTGATTGGTCCAAATCAGCATCCTGTGCTTGAAGATAATACTTCGCCACCCCACATCACACCCGCTTCGTGCTTTTGAAAGTGGGTCAGTACGATCCCCAAGATCTTGAGATTAACTACAAAACACATTCTCGCCATCCTTGTAGTCGGGCCTGCACAGGATGACGAGTCCACATTGTCCATTGCGTACTGTAGCCTGGACCTTTTCACTGCTTTCAGACGGGACGTTTGAAGGCATTGTTCGGAGATGATGTTGCTGACTATATCTATTCCAGCCCGCCCCCTATTAAACTTTTAGCACCACTGTTTTAGAATATAGCCTTTTTGTAGGTTGTAAACAACTCTGCAATACGCAACAAATAGGAACATAGTGAGAGGTTGACAAGGGGGGCCATCCAAATGTTCGGATTTGAATAAAATACGGTTTCGAGGCTATAAAAGGTATTTGCACAGAGATGTTTTTCTAAAGGGAAAAAAGCAGGAATGGCAGTGGGTTTATAAACTTGATTAGCTTGAATTTTGTCGTTGATGGGGCGGAACACCTTATCTTCCGAGACTGAATTATTTAGATCAGCTTAAAAGTCGTAAACAAGTTGTAAACATCAAAAGCGGCCTTCCAACCGCCATTCATTAATTTTTCCATGTCACCTCAGAAACCTCCCTTCCAGGAAGGGAGGTTTCATCTCCTTGCATACAAATGTGTATTAATCCGTCTTTAAATCCCTAAACATGCGGCGCAGGAATCAAACCTCGTCCGGCAAGCCGATCCAGGAGCCGCCACGCGCTTTGGATCACAATGCATGTCCACCCTCGCATCTGACTTTGCCCGGCGCCACTTGGCACCGGCGGGCCTCGTTGTTGTGCAATTCCACTTCTCTCTCTCTCTCTCTCACACACACACACAGTCACTGTTATACTTGCGCCGACAATTGATCCATGCAAACCCCAGTACGAACTTTGACACTCTTCGTGTTTTTTATTTTTTAATTCATTTTTTGGCATAAATATCTCTGTCAATGATCGAAGGCAGCAATCTCGAGAAGAATCCCAGCAAGCTGGATGCATGGATCAAGGAACTACAATCCTTCGCTTGCGTATTCCAAGAAGCCATTGCCGTGCATGCAGCGCAGAGTAAAATAATCTCGCTCGTGTTTCCGCTGTGTTCAAACTTTCGCTATCAACAAGGGAGTGAGAGGAGCAGCCGCCGCCCTATTCACAGCCGTTGAGCTGCCAAGAAAGAAACTGAACTTGGACATTGGCAGACGTGTGCTGCTTGATCCTCGAGTAAGCAAGCGTTATAGTTTGAGATTTGTCGAGATTTTTCCAAGTTTTTTTTATCTCCGCTTTTTGTTTTTTTCTTCTTTTTTAATCTA